GACGCCTTCAACTGGTAGAATACACTGATTATCAACACTGATCACAAATAATCAATACACAGTCGATCAATAAAGAAATGTGAACATGACAGAAACATCTACAGCTTCATTAAATATTCAAAAAGTTGTTCTTGACCTGTGATTGGTCGGCAGCACCAACCTGCTCCTGAAGCTCAGCCAATCGCGTGGCTCGCTCCTCCTCGGAGTCGGACGATTCGTCGGAGGAGGAGTTGTTGCTGCTGTCAGAGGAGGCGGTGCTTTTACTGACCAATGGGGTGGTGGAAGGGACCGACGCCTCCAGGCCCTCATCGGGGATCTTAGCGAACCGCATCTCAAACACGTCCTGCAGACATATTGATGACTGATCAGTGATCCATCAGACCTCAGAGAATACTGATAACTGATCAGTGATTGATCTGGTCTGCAGACATTATTGTTAATGAGCACTGTGATCGGTCAGGTACAGGATCTGCAGGGGTTATTGATTGCTAATCAAAGCAATGGATCAGGTCTGTAGGGTTATTGACGACTGACCAAAGCCATCAATCCTCTGCAGGGGTTATTGACTCCTGATCACAGGTTTTGCGGACGTTATTGCTAACTGATCACTGCCATGGATCAGGTAAAGGTTCTGGAGGTTCTAGGTACCTGCAGCTTGCGGGCCATGGCCACCACCTCGTGGTCCGGAGGGTTGTACTTGTAGCAGTTGGAGAACATTAACCTGACGTCGGTGGCGAAGCTCTGAGGGTCGCTGTACTCGCCTTTGTCCATCTTTTTCTGCCGGAGCACAGACACACCTCATCAGACATCAGTTATCAACAGCTGACGTCTGCCAGATCAATGAAACCCTGCTGATCAATGACATTGATAAGTTCTGTACTGCTACCAGCCTCTCTGTGGCTCATCACATTCTGAGCAGAAGCATCAGTGAATCTAAATGCCAGCTGATGCTCAGACAGACCAAAGGTCTTGGTACTGGTTACTATCACTGTTTTGGTGAACGTGTCAAACACCTGATGCTTTTCACTGTCGCATCACCGGAAACACGACATCTGGAGATTCTGAGCTGCTGGTTGGACCGTGTTCTGCAGGTGTTCTGCAGGTGTTCTGCAGGTGTTCTGGTAGACCTGCTCTAATCAGTCTCTGGTGTTATTTTCATCTGGAGAAAAGTTCTACATCAGCAGCCTTCCAGGATTAATCCATTAATTCTGGAGGAACAGACTGAACACCCCCGTGTTTTCACTACTTTGGACTGGTCCGACCTGACTGCTAGGTCCGACTAAACTGTTACTGATCCTTTACTGAACATTTCTGAACGTTGTCTGAACGTTTACTGAATTATAACTTAAGTTCTTTGAACTTTTACTAAACGCTTTCTGAACATTTACTGAGTGTTTTCTAAACCTTGGATGAACCTTTTCTGAACCTTTAGTGAACGTTTTCTGAACCTTTAGGAGGAGTCGACTCCAAACAGACACGGTGTCAAACAGAGAAAGCAACAAAGACACAGAAGTACTGAGGAAGACGTTTGGTTGGAGACGGTTTCAGTTCACCAGGATTCTCTCTCCTTCACTGCAGCCTCATCAAGTCCGGCTGTGAAACGGAAGCTAGTTTTGTCATAAAGTCTGGTCTCTGCTGCCTGGACTGTTCTTCAGCTTGTCTACACCTTCATTCACCTGCTTGAGGTCACGTCTCTCTGTATCCTTTATTCCTCTCGTCATGTCGTTATTGCCGTTATGTTATTGATACTGGATGGTATTGATACTCAGACGAGCAGAGGAGGCCGACGTGCGATCGACTGTGATGTCACGGCGGTGTGCTAATGTCATTACCCGGACGGTGCTGAGGTCCATGGGGTGTTTGATGATGTCGTGGTAGTCGTGCAGCTCCAGCGCCTCGGCGTCCACCGGCTTGTAGAAGGGCCAGGCGTATGCGGCGTGCTTCTTTGACAGCATCTCCTTCAGGATGGCGTCGCAGTGCTTCATCTGCTCGCCCAGCTTCCCGCCTTTCCTCCCGCCCGCTCCGCCACCGCCGCCGCCGCCACCCACCTCGCCCCCTGCCACCTCCTCACCCGTCTCCCGCCGGGTCTTCGCCGGGCGGGCAGCGGCTTCACGGCGGGACGAGCCGAGTTTGCCCGGTTTGGTGTCCTGAGCGGACGGAGAGTCGGCGCGACCAGCAGAGATGGCCGACGTGGTCGGAGTGGTGGTGTCGGCTTTCCTCTTCACACCTTTCTTCTGTTAGACACACACACAGGTAGAGAGTCAGTTTCTGTCTGTTTTCTTTCAGGTTAGCTGACGTTGCTACACACGACTGTTACCTTGACGACAGGCTGTGCAGACGGCATCATGGTTGCCGGGGGCTGCGGGGCAGAGACTGGTGGCGTGGCCTGGACAGGTGTGGGCGTGGTCGAGATGACAGGTGTCTGGGAGGGGGACGGGGAGGGGTAGGAGGAGGGTCTGGG